TTTCCCTAACATGGCCATCCAGATTCCTATGGTAGCCCTTGCCTTTGAGGCTGTTTGATTTCAGACCTACTAGTGTGACTTTAAGCTTCTCCAGGACTATGAAACTCCAAACCTAGCAGATACACTAACTTCCATTGACTTTCGTGTTCCTTCCAACTAATAAGCACAAGTTACACTTCTTCCATTTTCTTTTCCTGTGAGCTTCTAGAAGATTTGTTCTGCCCTTCCCATCCTATAGTGATGCTTGTAGACAAATTTTGGTTCTTACTGGATTGGGGTCAGATAACTCACAGGCCATGAAACAAGGCTTGGAAATTAGGCAGCTCAATAAATCCAGATGAGAAACCCTCTGCCCAAGAAACAGAACCCCAAAAGAACTAAACCAACTACAGTATCACCCTGCTTTTTGTAAAGCAAGATCCCATTTAAACATCAAGTAGCAATCAGAGCAGATTCCTACCACCTGCACTATCTTTCTTACCCACAAAAGAACAGCTAATCTTCTATGCCTTAAGAATGCCCAAGCAATGCCATTAATCTTCATCCCCCCCCTAAGCTGGGAGCTGCTGTTAAATAACTTGTTATAAGAATTGCTGGCAAGTCTGGAGACAGGAGCCTTGCTTGATAGGAAGCTGAGAGCTGGGGCTCAGGCTTTGGGGCAGCACTTGGTGCAACAACTCCTGGCCTGGCAGAGTGTTCCCAGGTATAATTGTATGGGGTTTATCCTTTTCTGATGATTATTTCAGATTTTGTACACAGTAAAGAAACTTGAGGAGGATCTAGGAAACTCCGGGAAATTGATAAGGCATTTCAGGTAGACCTTGATGGATCATTTTATATTTTGAGAGGTGCGAGGGGTACATCATTGTAAAGAAATGATCCCCGAGTTATGTGATTGCTTGGTGGCTTTTGCTGCATGACTCTTTCCTGCTTACCTGGCCTGGTGCCCATCACTGGGCTCTGATGTATCATTTACAAGTGGAAATCTGACTGATTGAAACCCGTCTCTTTTGCAGGAGGACTAAAGCAGAACATAGATGAAAAATTCCTGCTAACCAAGGAAGATTTCATGTCCAACTTCACAGGGCTTAAAGCCATGATAGTAAGTGTAATTTTGTGTCTCTAATGAGTCTTTTCCTCTGAGGACAGAGGCAAACAGTCCCTGTCTTACTTTTTCCCACCAGGATGAATAACACTTGATGCTACCTGCTGTGACTGTCTGCTTTAAGGCAGTAGCAGAGCACAAGGTGTGTAGGAGTAAACAGCTGGCATAGGCAGGGAAGCTATGTTGGTCCACAGCTTGACTTCAGTGAATAGCAGAGCAGCAGCTGAGACAAAGGACAATTGTTCTCCGGGTTTCTGCCAAAATACTCCTTCACTAGTTTCCTGGAAGCTGGCCCAAGGCACACGTTTGATTCAGCAAAGCCTCATTTGTTTGTAAACATGGGTTCTCTAAAGTCTGGATTTTTTTGCAACTTCAGCTACCGTTTGACAAAAAACATTTCTAGGAAGTGTATCTTTTTCCTAGCTGCCTCCCTAAGGTATAGAAAAGGGGAGGCATTATTGGGTAGTAACATCGCTTAGAAGGGAGAATGTAGGGAA